AGCGGCAGCAGCAGCGGCCACGGCCGCGCCGCCATCTTGGGCCGCCCCTCACGCTAAGCCACGCCCTTCTCCCTCAGGGCGCCTCGCCTGACCACGCCCCCCCCCGAGCGATTTGATTGGCCGAGCAGCGTAAGCCACGCCCCTTAAAACACAATATATTTGTGTGGCGCGAAGCCACGCCTTGCGGTGTAATTTGCATAACCACGCCCAACATAGCTATCAATGAGGCCACGCCCGCTGTGCCCATATATGGATGTGGGTGGTGCCGCGTTGTGGCCACGCCCCCCTGTTCTCCCCCGCAGGAATTCCCGCCTTTAAAAAATTCCAATTTTTAAGGATTTTTAACGGGATTTTCCCAATTTTCCAAGGTTTAACCCCGAAATCCCCAGTGGGGAAAAAGGGAAAAAAAAGGGGGAAAAGGAGGGGGGGGGAAAAGGGGGAAGAAAAACGGAAAATTGGGGAATAAAATGGGAAAAAAAGTGGGGAAAAAATGGGGGAAAAAAGGGAATAAACGGGAAAAAAATTTGGGAATATTGGAGGAGGGGAATGGGGTGAGAGCCAGGCTGGAAAAATTCGGGATGAGGGTTTTTTTTGGGATGAGGGCGGCGTCTTGGAGGGTTTGGAATGAAAAAAGCTCCTTTTTGTGGTAAAAAGCGGAATTTGTGGGAATTTCCGCCTGCTGCAAAATCCCGGGTTTGTTTTTTTTTCCCAGCCCTTTTTTTAATGTTTTTTTCCCCCCTCTTTTCCTCCACTTCCCGGTCCAGGATCCCCCAAATCCAAGGAATTCCCACCCAAAATTCCAGCTCAGCCAAAGCACCGTTTATTCCCAATAAAAAAATAATTAAACAGCAAAAAAAAAATCCCAATTTTTCCCGGAATTCCTGGAATTCCCGGAGGTTTTCCCATGGGAATGCTCAGGTTTGGAATGTCGGAGCCAAATCCGTGGATTTTGATCCCGGATTTTTTGGGGTTTTTTTTTTTCTCTCCTCCTCTGGGGGAATTCCGAGCTCCAAAAAAAAATCCCAAATAAAAATTCCCCCCTTGGAATTCTCCGTTCCCGGGTTTTTCACGGGAATTCCTCAATTCCTGGGGGGTTTTTCCTTCAAAATTTCCGATTTCTGGGGCATTTTCCAATGGAATTCCCAATTTCTGGGGCATTTTCCATCAGAATTCCCAATTCCTGGAGCGTTTTTCCATCAAAATTTCCAGATTTTCCATCAGAATTCCCAATTCCTGGAGCGTTTTTCCATCAAAATTTCCAGTTTCTGGGACATTTTCCATCAGAATTCCCGATTCCTGGGGGGTTTTCCAATGGAATTCCGGATTTCTGGGACATTTTCCATCGGAATTCCTGATTTCTAGGACATTTTTCCAATAGAATTCCGGATTTCTGGGGCATTTTCCATCGGAATTCCCAATTCCTGGGGGGTTTTCCATCAGAATTCCCGATTCCTGTGGGGTTTTCCAATGGAATTCCGGATTTCTGGGGCATTTTCCAATGGAATTCCCAATTCCTGGAGTGTTTTTCCATCAGAATTCCGGATTTCTGGGACATTTTTCCATCAGAATTCCCGATTTCTGAGGGGTTTTCCATCAGAATTCCCGATTTCTGGGGCATTTTCCATCGGAATTCCCGAATTCTGGGACGTTTTCCATCAAAATTTCCGATTTCTGGGACATTTTCCATTGGAATTCCCGATTTCTGGGACATTTTCCATCAGAATTCCCAATTTCTGGGACATTTTTCCAATAGAATTCCCGATTTCTGGGGGGTTTTTCCATTGGAATTCCAAGCTCTAAAATCCCCCACCGGAATTCCCGATTCCTGGGGGGTTTTCCAATGGAATTCTGGATTTCTGGGACATTTTCCATTGGAATTCCCAATTCCTGGAGCGTTTTTCCATCAGAATTCCCAATTCCTGAGGGTTTTTTCCATCGGAATTCCCAATTTCTGGGGGGTTTTTCCATCAGAATTCCCGATTCCTGAGGGTTTTTTCCATCGGAATTCCCAATTTCTGGGGGGTTTTTCCATCAGAATTCCCAATTCCTGAGGGTTTTTTCCATCGGAATTCCCGATTCCCGGGACGTTTCCCACCGGAACTCCCCGATTCCCGGCAGGGGGAATCCCAGTTCCGGAACTTTCCGTCACTCCCCGTGGGGATCTTCGGCTCCCGGTTTCTTTCCCCCGGGAATTCCGGGATTCCCGGGGTTTTTTCCCGGGGGGTTCCGCAGCTCCTCGGCCGCTTCCCGGTCCAGGAGCCAGCGGAGGCGGCCGGAGCGGGGCCGGACCCGAGCGGCCGGCAGCGGGAATTCCTCCCGGCCCTCCAGGATCCGCTGAGGACAGACACCAAAAAAACGGGAATTTCAGCCCAAAATCCCCGGATTCGGGAGAAAAAACGACCCCCGGAGCCCCGAAATGCCGGGATTTAAGCCCAAAAATCCGGGATTTGAGGGCAAAATCCTGGACTCAAGATCAAAACCCGGGATTTAACCCCACAATCCTGGTTTTAACCCCAAAAATCCCAGTTTTAAACCCAAAAATCCAGGATTAAACCCCAAAAATCCCAATTTTAACCCCAAAAATCCAGGATTAAACCCCCAAAATCCCAGTTTTAACCCCAAAAATCCCAGCTTTAGCCCCAAAAATCCCAGTTTTAACCCCCAAAATTTGGGATTTAACCCCAAACCCCAGGATTTAACCCAAAACCCCGTGATTTAACCCCAAAAATCCCAGTTTTAACCCCAAAACTCTGAGATTTAACCCCCACAATCCTGGTTTTAACCCCCAAAATCCCAGTTTTAACCCCCAAAATCCCAGTTTTAACCCCCAAAATTCCAGTTTTAACCCCAAAAACCCATGATTTAACCCCCAAAATCCCAGTTTTAACTCCCAAAATTTGGGATTTAACCCCCAAAATTGGGGATTTAACCCCAAACCCCAGGATTTAACCCAAAACCCCAGGATTTAACCCAAAAGCCGGGCTCAGACCTTGACGGCGGGCGCTTTGGCGGCGCCGGCGGCCACGAGGAGCACGGAGCGCGCGGCGTTGAGCAGCGGCAGCGTCATCGTCACGCGCCGCGCCGGCGGCTTCGGGGAGTCCTCCAGGAACCCCACCAGGGCCTGCTGCTCCTGGGGGGAAAAACGGGGAAAATGGGAAAAAATGGGGAAAAACAGGGGAAAAACAGCGGGGAAAAATGGGGGAAAAATCAGCGGGGAAAAACAGGGAAAATGGGAAAAATGGGGAAAAAACAGGGAAAAATGGGGAAAATATGGGGAAAAATGGGGAAAAAAATGGGGGAAAATCAGAGGGAAAAAACGGGGAAAATGGGAAAAAATGGGGAAGAACAGGGGGAAAAATAGCGGGGAAAAATGGGGGGAAATGGGGGAAAAATGGGGGGGAAAACAGGGGGGGAAAAACGGGGAAAAATGGGGGAAAAACGGAGAAAAACTGGGAAAAATCAGCGGGAAAAAATGGGGGAAAATGGGGAAAAATGGGAAAAATGGGGGGGAAAAACGGGGGAAAAACGGGGAAAAAACAGGGAAAATGGGGAAAAATGGGGAAAAAACAGGGGGAAAAATCAGCGGGGAAAAATGGGGGAAAATGGGGAAAAAATGGGAAAAATGGGGAAAAATAGCGGGAAAAATCAGCAGGAAAAAACAGGGAAAAATGGGAAAAATGGGGGGAAAACAGGGGGAAAAACAGCGGGAAAAAATGGGGAAAAATGGGAAAAATGGGGGAAAATCAGCAGGAAAAATCAGTGGGAAATTGGGGAAAATAATGGGGAAAATGGGGAAAATAATGGGGAAAAATGGGGAAAAATGAGGAAATCAGTGGGAAAAATCAGCGGGAAATTGGGGAAATAATGGGGAAAATAGGAGGAAAGATGGGAGAAAAAAATGGGGGAATAATGGGGGAAATAATTGGGAAATAATGGTGAAAAAAACAGGGAAAAATGGAGGAAAACTCAAGGGAAAAATGAGGAAAAAAACCTGAAAAACTGAGGGAAAAAAAATGAGGAAAATTCCCAAAAAATGAGAAAAAATGGGGAAAAAAATTCCCCAAAATTGACGAAAAAAACTCCTTAAAAATGAAACGAGGAAGATGGGAGGGGAATTTGGGTGGAAAGCGGGAATGAGGGGGAGGAAGGTTCCGGAATGCCGGGATTCAGCACCTGGAGCAGGGCGTGGCCCGGGAACAGCGAGCAGGTGTGACCGTCCGGGCCCAGCCCCAGCAGCAGCAAATCAAACTGGGGCACCCCCGCGCCTGGGAACTCCTGCGGGACCAGTACGGACCAGTACGGACCAGTCTGGACCAGTATGGACCAGTATGGACCAGTGTGGACCAGTGTGGACCAGTTCAGACCAGGGATTTTCCATCCCAGTCCATCCCAGTCCCTTCCAGTTCCCCTCCCAAGCCCTTCCCAGTGCTCCCAGTCCCTCCCAGTGCTCCCCAATCCCTCCCAGTTTGCCCCAGACCCTCCCAGTCCATCCCAGTTCCCTCCCAGTCCATCCCAGTCCCTTCCAGTCCCCTCCCAGTGCTCCCAGTTCCCATCCCAGTCCATCCCAGTCCATCCCAGTCCCTCCCAGTCCATCCCAGTCCCTTCCAGTCCATCCCAGTCAATCCCAGTCCTCTCC